AGCTTAGCCAAAAGGTTTGCACATACTCCTGCATTGTTAAAAATGAAAAATCTCTAGAGTATCTTCGATGCGGTGGTCTGGTTACCTCAACTCTACCTTTTCAAAAACTCATCCAACCCAAAAATTCCTTCTTTGGAGTTCAACTATTCGTTCATTAATTTAGCAAAGATACTATTTTAAATGGGTCCCAGCCCTAGTCTCATGAAATTTTCTTTTTTTAATAGATGGTACTTTTAATCTAGAATGACCCTTCACCCTTAAATACAGGGTTAGGAGACTTTTTGCAACGGGCCAGATAGATAAGCGTTTCGGGTTTCAGGTCCTTTGGGTCTCTAATAGAACTTTTCAAGTCTGGGCACAAGCAACCACAGACATGTCAATGAATGGATGCAGCTGTGTTCTAATAGAACCCCCCTCTTTTTTTTTTTTTTTAAAGAAAATCAAACAGAAAGAAGGCTAGATTCTCCATTTGCTGTAGCATGCTACCCCTGTCTCAGAGGACGGCTTTTAAACTCACGCTTCACGATAACTCAGCTCTGCACACCTGAGTGAAGACAGCTGTTGCAAACGCCTGTTAAAACTCAGGTGCTTGCCGGAAGAATGTTGGAAAAATTTAGGATTCCACCTCAACAAACATCAGTTTTCACAGGAGACCGGCTCTGCTAGGCAGTGGCTTTCTCTCAGAAGTCAGGGAACCACAAGGCAAGCCTTCCTGATTTTTTTACGGGGGCTGGGACAGGTGAGGGTACAAGAAAAATTGATTCCAAACCTTAGGCTTTGTGTTGCCAAAGCTCTCTTCTCTCAGTGGCTGCCAGGTTTTAACCAAAGTTCAAGTCATCCTGGTCTTTAACGTGGTGTGTGCTTATCATGTATTTGAGAATCCTTTGACTCCGGCTTGTCAACATGTGTATTCTTTTTTAGATAGGCTGTGTGCTGCTCCCTGGGAGAGAGGTTCCCCTGCCTTCCCACTTTTTCATGCCTGATTTCTGAGTCTCTTCCGGGAGTGTGACTAAGGCCCACTTGCAAAACGTGGCCGAAATGTGTATGCAGAAAAGACTGGAGATGCTTACTTGTAATCAAAAAGCGATGTAAAAATAGATAGCAAGCAGTACGTTAGTAGATACAGAATTATCCAGGACCCCCCGGGGGGGGGAAGAGAGAGGACTTAGGTGTGCCCCACCTTCCTCTCCTTCCTAGTAACAAGTCGAATTTACAGAAAGATTTATATGTTGTTGTAATGCTCTCAGAAGAGGCCTCTGAAAACAAATCCAATGAACAAAATCAAAACAGCCATCTGTTTGGCTTGGTGAGGCGTGACCCAGGTGGCTCACTAGTGCTGGATTTTTTTTTTTTACTCGTTTTGAGACAAGGCTTCCCTGTGTAGTACTGGCTGCTGGCTGGTCTGGAGTTTGCTACCTAGGCCAGGCTGGCCCTAAACGTAAAGGGATTTACTTGCCTCCGCCTCCCAAGTGTGGGATCAAAGGCGTGTAACACCATGTCTAGCTATTCCTGCCCTTCTTGTCTCAGCAATAGACACAGAGTGCTCTCACTTGGTTCGAATTTGGCCTGAGACCTCAGGGGTTACCAAGGAACAACTACAGGGCCCAATGCTCACTGTTTTCTGGAAGCTTCTCTGTTACCAAAGCGTGACTGACTTTGAAGTTTGTCTATGACTCGTTGGTTGCTTTAACCTCACCCCTCTGTTACGGAAGAAGCTGGTGGTTGTTACAGAGGCTTCTGCTCTTCCCCACTAGGCTCTGGAACTCAGCACCGCAAGGTCAATATGGCAGGCCACCAAGCAGGCCTCCTTGGCCATGGCAGGCAGAGCTCTGTCTGCTGGGCTCACAGTATGTTGAGAATCCTATCTGGCTTAAACCAGGGACACCTCTTTCAAACCTGCACCCAGCAAGACTCATTTAACAGAACCCCATCCCTTTCCACAGCTGAGCAGGCCAGGGTTGGATAGCCTCCCAAAGCCGGAGCCCGGCCGTGGCAATGCCTCATTACTCAGTGCTGCAGGAGGGGGGGGGGGGGCTGATACCAATATGCATATTTCAGTCACCTCACGCCTGGAAACTCAATCACCCCTTTGTCCTAGCTCATCTCCCCATTCCAGCTATTTCAGTACCGGCGTCCTCTTTGGACGTTTGCTTTATATAACCCAGTTACTTCATTTTGGCCACTACCATGGTCTGCACACTTCAGGTGCAGAATTCTGTTCTGTGTACTTGTGAAAGGCAAAAATGGAGCGACTTGGTCCCCTATGGGAGGAAAGGGAAGAGCAGAATATGACTTGCAGCCAGGAGAAGCAATGCTTCCGGGGCTCACCGGAAGTGGAATTCCGGAGTGTGGACTAGCCTAGTGAGCTTGGGCTTTGGGAAGTAAGGCCTCCTAGATACATGGGCCAGGCAGTCAGAGAATGCAGTTCCCTGGCTGTAGGTAGAGAGCGGAGTTGCCGAGAGTCAGGGTGTGAGAGAGAAGGAAAATGGACCCCCATCATGTCTCCACATCACTAAGATGTCAATTAAGAGGATCCCACCGATCTGGGGCACCTTATGGAGATGGTTTTACCAGCTGACACCCTCGCGTGAGCTACTTTGTAAATCCAAGCGGGACTCCGGAGTGCTTTGCCACCAGCGCTTATAAACACAACAACCGGGAGCCGCCGGGTCGTTTGCCGGCAATGATTGTTTATGTTGAAAAGTTGGCCCGCCACCCTGGGTAGATGAATGCTCCCACTTCCACCGAGATAAAATGGAAGCATTTGCGATCAGCAAGGGGAGCACGTTCATTCTGGGTCTAAATGGCATTATAAAACTTCCTAATTAAGCGTAGATAGCAATGAGACTTCAGTGTCAAGTCTCCAGTTTAGCTTTACATACTGTGTGAGCTGTTTAGTGCCGCGGTTAACTATAAACATTGCTGTTACTGCCCCCAGCTGGAAAACAGAGCAGTTTATGTGCGGAAGAAAAAAGAGATTATCTCCCATCTGCTCCTGCCCATTATTCAGGGATGTGTCATTCTGTCTGCCGAGGGGAGCCGTTCGCTAGCTTGTAGTTAGTCTTTTTAATACTGGGTCATACGTATTAATTGTTATGTTTGCTTGACACACTGCGCCTACCCTTAATTCGATGGGAGTTTTGTAATTCCTCAAGATTTCTCCTTCTTTTTCTGAAATTAGGTGGATTTTAGGATGCCAGTTTTTCTTTTTTTCTTTTTTTAAACACAAACAAGTATAGATATAATTAGACACACTCAATGCCTGTTTTCCACTGTCTATCAATTCTATGTCCGGCTGATATGCCTCAGGACAGGAGACATAGGATAAGAAAGGCTGCAGCATGGTACGATTCAATTTACATAGACTATGAAAGGGGCAAGACTAATTAGCACAGGTAGACTTTTCAGTTAGTCTTTACCCCTGGGACAAAGGCATCCTCTGGGAAGGGCCGGGAAGGGTGCTGGGGATCTTCTGTGCCTAATACAGAAGTTGTTTCAGGAGCCTGCGCAGTGTGTGGAACATACTGGTAAGACTAGCTTTTGTGAAACGGTGTACCCGCCTATATTATCTTCAGTGTTAAAAAGTCGAAAGCTGGGTCTGTGTGCAGGCAAATCGTAATGAACTCCCCTCCCCCAAAGCTAATTTACTTAGGTAAATGAAGCACTGACTGTGGGACCCTTCCCTTAGGCCTTCTTTGGAAAAATTGCGTAGAAGTCTTACTGTGGCTGAGGGTTGTTCTATGGTAAGCAGATCTAGAAGTGATCATGACCTTACTGCATTTTTGACTATTTGTCTGAGTGTGCCCTATTCTGGTTTTCTAAGCCCTTTGTTCTGTGACCCTAATTATAAAAAAATAATTAGGAGCAATAATCATAGGGCAAATTTATGCATATTATCTATAAAGTGTATATGTATCTATTCACAGATGAGTATAAACTTATTTTGGTAAAACTTGGCAGTCTGAGCCAAGAGACAATGTCAGGCAGACACTGCTGCTGCCAGCAGGCTCCATTATTTGAGGAGAATAAATGCCAAATTTGGGAGCTTTTCTCGGCAAGTGCTACACCAGGGAGCTTTTACCTGGAAATCATTTTGGAGACATTAAGGTGAAGAGAAGTTCGCTAGAACTTCTCAGAGTTCATTTCTCAAACCACCAAAAGTCATCTTGCTTGTGGATAACTCTAGAGCAATACACACACAATGCCCCTTGCAGGAGGTGCCAGGGCCATTGGCTGGAATGGGGAACGATGGGATAGAATTCATAAGCTGGTTAAACACATCAATACTTCCCATAGACCCCCTTGCTCAAGCAGATAAGCCAACTAAAGAATCTGACAATCACAAAATATCAGAAGTAAATTCATGCAGTAGCTAGTACATAGAGGGGATTTTGGGGAGAGAGGGAGGAAGAAAACGGTCAAACAAAAACAGAACGAAAAGGTGGAGAATTTGAAAACACAAGCTTACCAACACACACAATGCATTCTGTAGCCCGCTGGACTTGGAGGCATTTCTACTGCTAAGGTGTAAATGCATTGTTCCGTCCTCTAAGGTTAAGGTTGGGCTGGATGACTTTAAAATGACAGTATATGCTTATATAGAGCACACACACCAAGGTGCTTCTGTTGTTCCGTTTATCACAGGACAGAGGAGCTCTGGAAACATCACTGCTGCAATCAGCAACATCAGGCAAATGCTTTGGCGTCAGCATGGGATATACTGTCCTTTTAACCGTACGGGGGTGGGGGAGGTGGGGGGAAGATCAATACTGAGCATGTGCGATGGAAAGAAAGCTGGCAAATGTCAGTGTGAATAATGGGTGAAAAAAAGGAATGAGGGGGCGTGGCATCTCAATCAAGATTCAAATGAAACCAATAAAGCAGCATATGGACTGGGGAACAAATCAAAAACATGTTTATCCACTGAAGGAACTGGTAAAATGGAGACTGCCAGCACGTTGCCATGGAAACACTGACTGTTGCGCTGCACCATCTCATACCTTATCCAATACATTCCTGGTTGCTGGTAGTAGTCCAAAGACCCTGATCTCTTGATGGTAAACCCGTGGTCCAGCTGAGCAGAGAGAAATGGGGCAACTCAGTGGATCAACATTGTGCTCAAGAATTAAGACTCCAGTCCAAGCTCTTCATCAACTACATACGTACGCACACACAGGGATGAGGCCTCTCCTGCGGAGCAGCTAGCTAACAATGCGATCTGCACATTGAAAATAAAATAAAAACAGAACAGAACACAAATCCCTTCCGAGTATCTGGGATGTCAATTTGTTAGCATAGAGCTAGTCTGTCAGACACGTTTCTGAATATCCATTAAAGAATGTCCTCACTTTGGAAAGCTATGAACGCCTCTTCTGTTTCGACAATAGAAAATGCTTTACAGTTAAACTGAAACCAGTATTTAGTCACTGTGAGCACGCAGATTGGACCCCCTCCCCGACAACACCCAGCGTTATAACTAGGAAGTAAAAGAGGAAAAGATGAGGGTTGAAAAGTGGACACATCACAGACATTTAGAGTTAAGAGAGAGTTGATCTTCAAAAATATAGCTATTCTTAGTTATATTCCTGTACTATAGGGATGTGATAGGACCAGTTTCTCTGGGAAAATTAAATCAGATGAAAAATAGCTTTCTCTGAACATTAAGTGCTTAGCATTAACAAAAGGCAAAGTAAGTACAATACCAGGTAAGTTCCCAATACCACGGAATAATATGTCAGTGTTTGGCACCTGGGAATAAAATCCTCAGGGCCCAAATCTGGAGAACAATAAATAGTCCTGCTGCTTGCCTGTGCCCCTGTTCTGCCCACTCAAGATGCACCTTGCTTTGGAAACAGAGACTCTGAAGTCCTTTCAGGTAGCTCACTGATTCGATGCTCCTGACAGCTTCTACTTGTAATTCACAAAAGGCATTTCAAAAGCGTGCCAGGGTACCAGGCATTTAACCTAAAAACCACTCTTGAAGATTGGGTGTTCTGATTGGAAACTAGGCTGTATGCATGTTCAGAGAAAGCAATGTGAGATTTGAATCTTCAAAATTATTTCATCTTATTTTTTTTAATTTTTTTTTTTTTTTAGAAAAAAATGTAGCTCGCTTGCTCTCTAGGAGCTGGTTGTGTGGTCTCTATTTTAGGCCACAAAGAGGGTAGCAAGGAACTAGTTCTCTACTGCCATCTACAGGCAAAGTGTCATAGAGCAGGGCACCAGGGCTACTGAGCCAAGCTTCCCAGCATCTCATATTAACTGATTAGTATGGATTTGTTCAATTAGACCAAAATGCTCTATTTGCATGAACAAAATTCAAAAGGACAATGTTAAAGCATTAGGAAAATTATCAACTAAAACAATAAACAGCAACAAATGGGGGGAAAATTGGAAGTGTCATCTTAGTTGGGTTCTTCATCAAGCCAGGCAAATCTAATCATGCTTCCCTCCCCCTCTCAGCTCTCAGGGAGACCACCATTAAAATGTCATTTCTAATTCCATTTCATGTCTATAAATTGCATTTTAATAACCTTTTGTTTCCCTATTTTTTTTTTAAACTCGTCCGGCTCATATGAAAGATGGCAGGACAATGGAACCCTTCTCAGGGGCAAAATACCTCGGTTTATGGACAGCGTGGCTCCTCCCCCTGACCACACTGCCTGCTTCAACAACACTAGGTCATTTTCCATTCTTTCAGAAGGGCCCCATGACCCCTAAGATCTCCAGTTGGTAATTACATTCCTAGCCAATTGGGGATGCTTGTGCAGCCTTCACATGAAGTCATATTTGACCCTTCCCTTGCTCTCAGTAATGCATGGAACGAGAAACAGGGCAGAAAAGGCAGCAACGCGGACAAGCCAGAGTGGCTCAGACCGTGCACGCGTGCTAAGCTAGACTCATGTCAAAGATGGCACCTGTGAACGGGGTGTGCTTGGTGACAGTCTGTGTCTCTTTTGTCACCCAAGAAAAGAAGTGTGTCATAGACTCCTGTAGAGTCAGTGTTGCTTGGTGCCAGGTGGATGTCTGGCTAAGGGAAGGCAAGTCCTATGTAAAGACCAATGGCATGACTGGCTGTTTCCAAAAAGAGCAAAGAAAGAAAAAAAGTCCACAAACTGACACCCCAATCTAATTAAAAAAAATTCCAGGAGTGCATATAATTAAAAAAGAAGAGGACTACGCAAGACAAAGACAATTTAAAGTAAAATGCATGTGTTTCATAGCCTCCTGGGAGCACATATATGCTCAGGGGAAAATAACTCCAAGGAAACTGGTTTTTCAGTTAATTTATCAAACAGAAATCATCACTGGAGAAGTTCTTATCACGAGGAGGTTAAAACCAGAATTATGAATTTGTCAAGTGATCTTCATAGACTACACCATTCATAAAAGATATTTAGTTCACCTCCCACTGAAGTCCTGCTCACCAAGGATTACTGCTTTGTGGTCATACACAGAGTTTGGGAGGGCATACTATTTAATACTAATATTATTTAATCTCGTGATAGAACTGCTACAAATACTTAGTCTTTGAAAAACAAGTGTATGGAATTTGCCAGTGCTATTCTGAAAGCTAAAAGCAAGGCAGGCCCAGTGGCCATCTTCTAGTTCCCAGCTCTCCCCTATGCAGGCCTTGTAACGTCCCAGGAGTCTCTGCAGAAGGCAGAGATGCTGATGTGGGAAAAGCATCCTGGAGAAGGCCTGTGAGTGTCTTTCGACACTGGCATTGATATCTTTTTGATGCTTGAAATTTGAATGACAGTGGTTGACATGCAAAATATTCCTGAGTGTAGTGCTGTGCAATGGCTAAGGCATCTTCAATGTGTGTCCAATTCACATGTCACTCCAAGTTAGTACGCTGTAACGCATATTTCTATTGTGGCTTGGTTGCCATGGCAAATATGTTAGTGATAAACGGAGACCTCTCTGTCACAGTAGCATTCATGCTGGGCACAGAGCCTCACACCACCGGAAGCTGAGATACGAGGGCTGTTTCAAGTTTGGTTGAAGCCGACCTGGGCTGCATAATGAGTTCTAGGTCAGCATGGTGCACAGGTGAGACCTTGTCTCAAAAAGAAAAGTGAAACCAAACTACAGCAGCCACAACAAAAACCAAAGCCCAATAACAAGACAAAGCAAAAGCAAACAATTTCATTCAAAATGGTATAGTCATGATTCTTAGGGAAAAAAAAATACCAGTGACAACTGGTACTCTGTGGAGATATTTTTATGGCGTTTTAGCAAATTCATAATTTAATAAATTCATAAATATTTGGTTTCAGAGTTTATCAGTGTCTGATGAAAATAGAACTTGCCCTCAAAGATGTAGTGTTTGCTAACTGGAAAATCGCACAGACGTTTCTGTCCACAGTGATTACAGGACTCACCGAATATTTTAAACAATCCATTACTAAACAGCCAAAGTAAACTCAACCAAAGACCGATTAAAATGAAATTATGGAGGGAAAAAAAAAAGAAAACCAGAAACAAATGACCCAGGTGGGAAAGATGTCTCCTTAACAGCAAGGAGCCCTGAGCAGGAGCAGAGAAGCAATTGTTCTTGTGGACAGGGTGCTGGCCATCCAGTCCAAAATGGTGGCCCACTGGAGCCAAATCTTTCAGAACAGCCAGACCCACGAAAACAGAGTTTTGGTCTCAATGCGCAACCCCAAGAGATAGTAGCTTGCAAAAATTCCTAGCGTGGATGTTAGCTGGTGACAAACACTGGAAAATACAGAGGACAGCTGATTTTTTTTCCACTGAGTTTTTTTGGAAAGAGATAAAGAGAGGCAAAAAGAGCAGCTTGAGCGTGTAAAACCTCAGTGTTGCCGAGGAACATCCAGCAGAGTTTACGTTCCACGGACAGCCATCTGTCGTCACCCATGCTGTCCCTGGAGGACTGTGAGATGGGAACAGGAGCTAGCTTGTCTTTGTGCCATCTGCAGAGTCAGGAAGTCTCTTCACACAGGTAACTCTCAAAGCAGTCCCTACCCGAGTCTTAGCTTTGGCACTCTAGCAAGTTCAAAACCGAAAAGAAAAGCAGAACGCTGCAACACCCACAAAGAGGACTAACCAGGAACCCTGCTCATGAGCTGAGCAGTCAGGCTGTCCACAGCATGAATACTCTCCCAAGACTCGCCATCACCCTAAATTCTTGGCTGAGAAAAGGGGCACAGCCCCAGTGACTCTCACGGGGGGTGTGCCGCTAAAATGGACGTCGTCTGGCTAAAGAGGAAACTGTGAAAAACTCAAGTGATCTGAGATGTGGATACATGCACTCCAGAATTTGACACCGGGAAGTCTGAGGTTTTAGTATTTCTCGGACCAATTTAATCTTTGTTAGAGAGGCTATCAGATTACGTATAATGTATGCCTGCATGTGTAGAACAGGGGGGAAAATCCAGTACAAACTCATCAGATAAAAGGGCACATGATAAAAAATGTCAACTTAACAAATTCCTAAGGAGCAAGACCTTGTGACGTCACTGGGTATTGCCCACAATTCAGTCTCCCTGAGAATCACTGTGTTTGCTTTCTGCTGCTTCGCCTTTGCCCTAGATTTAGTACAAACGTCTATGCTGCTCAGGACTCTGCTCCGCTGTCTCCCTCCCAGCTCTCCTTCCCTTGCAGTTCCTAGCTAAAGGACACTGAAGGCTTTACCTGAGAGCCAAGAAGTTTACACTGGCACAGAGTCCAGTTTGGGGAGAGGGTTTTTTTTTCCTTAAAAAAAAATAAATCATGAAATTAATATAGGCTGCCAGATCCCCTGAAGGTGTGGGATAATGAGGCACTCGGGGAGACACTGCACACACACATACCACCTCCCCTGCTGTCTGAAGAAATGACCCACTATGCTGTCTCCGGGAGGAATCTCGCAAGGAATGCCTGTCTCTCGGATGGGCTGCTTTGAAAAGGCAGGGGTGGTTAGGTATTTCAGATGCTTACTGCTACGACGGAAACTCCGGCTGCCGTGCTGTTCGGCTTGGGGCCCGTGTTGAAATGCTTCTTGATCTTGCCAGCTACTGACAGCTGATGCTCATTTTCTGGGAGACCGTCATCCTGGAGGATAAAAAGAGCGAGAAACAAAGGGAAAAAAACATAAAAGGAAAAATGAGATACACGGAAGTGAGGTCGCAGTCTGGGTCCCAGGTCAGGATCTCAGAGGCCAGTCAGCCAAGGCTTTCTCTTGAGGCTGGCATTAAAGGACCCCGCCACTGTCTTCCTTTCTGTCTGTGTTTTAATTGCTGGCCCTACACCATCAGACCCTCGGAGGTTTGACTCCAAAGCCAACATATTCTGACTTCGGTTTCTAATAAAATCTATTTTCAACCTCCGCCCCATGGACGTATGTTCAAGGAAAAGTTAATATGGCCAACTCAAAACTCCCAGACTCAGCACATCCTCCTCTCCCTCATAGCCCAGGATTCAGATCTGAAGCTAAGGAGACAGGCAGATCTGGTCGCATGTGTGGTCATAAATAAACTTATTTCTCCCCCACAGATATCAATTAGTCATCTTAAAATCCCAGACAGCCCTCTAGACAGACAGTTCTTCCCTAAGCTTTAAATCCTCCCGACTGCCTTCGTGTCAGCTGCTGTTCCGACTCTGTCCTCACAAGGACGCAGCCCCTGCTAAAGCTCCTATCAGCTAAGGCTTCTGCTCTCCGCTGAACACACCATTCTCCCGGGCCAACAGTGACCAGGGCTGTCAGTGCGCGTCACTTACTGGCTCACGACGAAAGGCCGCGTGATCCTTGAATGGTGGGGCTGTATTTTGCTGGCGGTTGGATCCCCAGGTCTGAGCACAGTGCCTGGGCATATGTCGCACATTTAATAAATAATTATGGAATAGATGGATGGAGGGGCAATGGGGTGTGTCTCACTGTCTGCTAAAACCCAACCCTGGGAGAGATGCTCGTTTCCAGTCCCTAGTTTTTTCCTTCCCCCTTCAGCACTTTACATGACATTTCTAATCTGCTGTTCCCCAAGCCCACATGCGCCCTTGATGAAGGAACTGCTCTCTGCATACAGCACGCAGGCTCTGTTCCTCCTTTAGCACTGGTCATTCGTTTACCTAGCGGATATTAGCCACACGTCTAGACGGGAACCAAGATTTCGCTAGTTGGTGCAGGAAATGATAGCAAGAGATAACACGAATGGATCCTGTTCTTTGGGACTCTGGTCTCTCCTTTTCTTGAGGATTAAGTCCAAATAACCTGTTCTAAGACATTCTCCTCACTTAAACACAGTCCATTCCAATGGCTTTTTAAGTCCCCAATGCCTTTTATTTTGTCAGTTTGCTCATATACTTGTATTTTCTGGTATCAAGCTATCTTATTAGTCTACCATATTATAGCTGTCCATGATCTACTACTACTATCTATGCATCCACCTGTCCATTATTACCATGTTGTACCATGTCGTACCATGTTGTACCATGTTGTACCGCCTATTCCATGTTTTCTGCAATCACTAATGCAAGCCCTTGGTTCTCCGACCTGTGCACAGTAGGTATTCATGCTCTAATGAACACATGGGTTAATGGTCAGAAGAAGGAATTAACTAATATGTCTGGGATTTTTGGAACACATCTGGAAGAAGCGTTTCCAACAGTGCAGAGGGAAGGATGTTCCCATTTTACGGAACAAGCCAGAAATAAATGCGGAGGTGGGACGGCACTTGGGGAACTTACAGAAACAAGGATGGGTGGAAGAACACCTACTATCCTGAGGGTTAGATTAGGGATGCCAGGCTGTGGGAGAAAGGAATGACCTCTACCCACTGGACACCTGTGTGCTAATGGGGAGAGAATGAGCACATGCTACACCAAATTATGAAAGAAATCAACAAATTAAGGAAGAGTGGTTATGGGGCAGCTAGTTCCAAAGCTTGGTGGGAAAACCCGGTGCTGGTGAGAGGAATGAAAACATAGTGCCCCACTGTGAAGAGGCTTAGAAAGCTGTTCATGGGGGAAGGATTTGACCCTGATCTTAAAGGTGGCAATAACGCTGACAGGCAGGAAGGAGAGAAAGTGGTATGGTACTTTGATGCACAATGTGTCAAAGTGGTTAAGCTATTGCCTACCAATCATGATATCTTAAGGTAAGAATTTATTTGGAAGAATAATGGCAGATGAAACAGAGAGAGCAGGAGAAGGCTGTTCAAAACCAGTAGAATTATATTTTTAAAATGAACAAAAGCAATGGGACCTCCTGAAACCAAGGACACGGTCAACAAGACAAAACCACAGCTTACAGAATGGGAAAAGATCTTCACTAACCCCACATCAGACAGAGGTCTGATCTCCAAAATATACAAAGAACTCAAGAAATTGGTCACCAAAAGAACAAATAATTCAATAAAAAAATGGAGTATAGTCCTAAACAGAGAATTCTCAACAGAAGAATCTAAAATGGCTGAAAGACACATAAGGAAATGTTCAACAACCTTAGTCATCAGAGAAATGCAAATCAAAACAACTCTGAGATTTCATCTTACATCTATAAGAATGACCAAGATTAAAACCACTGATGACAACTAATGCTGGAGAGGTTGTGGGGAAAAGGGAACACTTCTGCATTGCTGGTGGGAATGCAAGCTGGTATAACTCCTTTGGATATCAGTGTGACAATTTCCCAGAAAATTAGAAAACAACCTTCCTCAAGACCCAGTAATACAACTTTTGGGTATATATCCAAAGGATGCTCAACTATGTGCCACAAGGACATGTGCTCAACTATGTTCACAGAAGCATTGTTTGTCATAGACAGAACCTGGAAACAACCTAAATGCCCCTCGACCAAAGAATGGATAAGGAAAAAGTGGTACAGTTACACAATGGAGTACTACACAGTAGAAGAAAATAATGACATCTTGAAATTTGCAGGCAAATGGATGGAGTGAGGTAACCCAGATCCATAAAGACAATTATCATATGTACTCACTCATAAGTGGTTTTTAACATAAATCAAAGAAAACCAGCCTACAAATCACAATCCCAGAGAACCTAGACAACAATGAGGACTCTAAGAGAGACATACATGGATTTAATCTACATGGGAAGTAGAAAAGGCAAGATCTCTTGAGTAAATTGGGAGCATGAGGACCTTCGGGGAGGTTTGAAGGGGGAAGGGGAGAGGCAGGGATGGGAAAAGAAAAATATAGAGCTCAATAAAAATCAATAATTGATATATATTCCTGTTTAAAATGGGCAAAAAGCTATGCTTCTGTTTTGTTAAAGATTTATTTTGACTCTATGTATTTTTTATGTGTGTATTTATGTGCACCACATGTGTGCAGTACCTATGGAGGCCAGAAGGCGGCATCAGATATCCCAGGAACTGGAAATGGAACAGCAAATGGTTGTTAGCCTCCAAGTGGATGCTGGGAACTGAACCCAGGTCCTCTGCAGAAGCAGAAAGTGCTCTTAGCCACTGAGCCATCTCTCCAGCCCCCAGCAATGCTTTTTAAAAAGACTGATGTAATGTAACACAAGTGGGCGATGAGTAACCTCCTCCTCAGACCCCTAGGTGTCCACTATCTAGTTTGTGGCTCTCCAGGCAGCTAGATGGTGATAACAAATATGTGGCCCAGACTTTTAAATGTGGGGCAAATTCAGGGGTGTATATAAATGCCACCCCTGATATTGTATTATGAAAATGGTACCTGACATTTAAGACAGTCAACCACCCTTGGAATCTAAGTTAAATTTTTACGTATTTCACGAGGCATGGAATGAAATGGAAAGTCTTACCAATGTTAGAATTATGCCTCTGGCTCAGTTGGGGGTTCTTCTTGAATTAAAGGGACCCCTCTCATACCAAGATGCATAGTGGGTCCCGTTGCACTCCACTGGGAATGTTGTAGATAGATGCTACCCATGTCTACTACTACATTTAGTTCCAGGACACTCAGGGAAAGAGATTGATGATGACCTTTTGACTATGAAATAGGATGGAAAGCTATGCTGGGGAAGCAAATTTAGGTCAAAGAAACTTGAGTCCGACTGTAGTCTTAGGATAAGTTAGAGGAGAGAAGAGAGCTGAGAGCGAGCAGGAAGGAACAAGTGTGGAAGCAAAAGGAAGGCAAGGACCATGTCTTTCTCCCAGCTAAGCTGAGGCTAGAACAGAACAAACAAGGTCTGTGTTTAAAAGGAGGGGAGGTACACTGCCAGGAAAAGGCAAGCAGAGGAAGGGAAAGGAAGAGCTAATTATTGGTGGCCCTGCGCTAACAACACATACCTAATTCCCTTTATCCTTAGACTAGCACCCACAAGCATCCACAATAATCATTATCAGTCCCATTTGAAGATGGACAAACTGAGGCTCATAGAGGTGACATCCTTTGCTCAAGGTTAAGTCAAAAGTGAACCATGTCTTTCTACTAAAGCACACTCCCTCAAGAGGACATCCACTCTCATAAAGTCTTAGACTCCAAGTTAGCTAAGTGCAACTATTCAGCAAGTAGCCGTGAGGTCAGCAGTGAGTTCGGTTGGGGCAGAAGGAACCAAAGGATACCTAGACAGGTTTTAGTGGAGCCTGGGGAGAATTTAGAGGCTAATGAGAATGGAGGTGAGCACGGCAGGGGAACGCTCTTCCAGGACATTGTTAGAAACTTCTCTGTCAAATGAGGACGAGGCATCCTTTCATCTATGACATTGAAAACTCATCTAATAGGGCCAGGGCTCTGGGGTTGTAGTACCAGAAGGGCCTGGCTGACCTTGCATGAAAGGGAAGCGGTGCATTCCTGAGAGTGTGGACCTTACTGATGCAGGTCGTGTTAATAGCTTCAGTGCAAACGAGAAAGACAAGAGAGATTCAGTAGGTACAGCCATCACTCACTGTCTAGACAGACCCATCCCGCCCCTGGGCTGGCACCTTTGCCCATTTCCCTTCACCAGCCTCTCCCAAGCAGGTTCTTGAGGAAAAGCTTTGCTTCCAACATCCTGCCTTTGACTTCCTCCTCATTTTCCACCCTGACTCTGGCCCGAGTCTCCTGTCAGCTCTCTCAGTGACTCTTCTGAGTTTCTGAGGCCTGGAAATTCAAGCTCGCGGCCTTGAA